ACACACACACACTCCAGCCTCACATCACACACACACACACCCCAGCCTCACATCACACACACACACACACCCCAGCCTCACATCTCTCACACACACACACACACACACCCCAGCCTCACATCACACACACACACAAACACACACACACACCAGCACACACTTGTGCTGTCAGCTGGGGACTCAGACTCGCAGTGGTCATCCCAGGGCCGGTCTGGGTTTGTGGCTGGGATCCTGTGAGCCCCCAGCCTGTCACGTCAGGCTTCCTCAGGGCAGGGTGCGCCCTGGCTGATGCTGTCCATGGCTTTTCCATGGTGAATTCTGAGCAGGCAGTGACCCAAGGCCAAGGTTTCCCAGTTAATCACAGGCCCCTGGGAACACAAAGTCACTGGGAAAAGCTGGTGGTAGGGGCGGAGGAGGCGGGGGCTGGGGCGCATTTCCTGATTCAGCTGGATGGGCGTAGCCTGAACCAGGGGCTCTGCTTGGACCCAAAGGCCTGTGCACAGGCCCCGCCCCTACACTCAGGCCATGCCCTGGCACAGCCTGGAAGTGTCAGTATTTGGAGAGTTCTGTGGCGTAATGGGTAAAACCACTGTCTGCAGCGCCAGCATCTCATATGGGCGCCTGTTCGAGTCCCGGCTGCTCCGCTTCCGATCCAGCTCCTGCTAATGTGCCTGGAAAAGCAGCAGCCCCACACCCAAACCTGGAGGAAGCTCCAGGCTCCTGGCTTTGGAATGACTCAGCTCCACTGCTGGGGCCATTTGGGGAGTGAACCAAATGAGAAAAGGAATTCTGGGAGAAGAGGAAACTATCAAATGTGCACTGTGGAGTGAAATCCTTCAACTTGTTGGCTCTCCTCTCGCCCTTTAGCTGGGGAGAGGAGCTGTCCCTGTGCTGTGAGGTGCCTTTGTGCCTGGCGGGGGGACCAGGGGGAAGTGATGCAGTGTAACTAGGTAGCTAGTTTAGGTCTGCGGAGCTGGAGGTCTCTTTCTATCCTCCCACTTGTCAATCATAACGCCCCCTTTCCCAGGATGTACCTGCTTCATTGAGGGGGAGGGGGACTGTGGAGGAGCCATAAAATTCCCAAGTGGCTTCGCGCCCATAGAGGCACCACCCCCTACCTCAAAAGACAGGCCGACAACTGAGGGGCAGCTCTCTCTCTTTTTTGCCCACAGCTGGAGGTGCTGTATGGGTGCCCTTTCTCTCTGTCTTCCCCCGCCCTCCTCCCTTCAGGCAGTCCCCCGGCCCACTGCCCGCTCGTGCCGGGCATTTCTCCCAGTGGGCAGCCCATGCCCACGCGTGTATGTGTGCTCACTTTCTCACCTTTGGAATCCATTTTGCTATCGCTTTGTGCACCTGTACGTGTCTGCCCTTCGAATGCTTTCCCTGTGCAAGGCAAGAGCCTGCAGTGGGATTCACAGAAGAGGGGCAGACAGCACCCGTGTGGTACGTGACTCCCACTGGTCTCTCTGTGCCTGGAGTCCCACCTGGGCTCCCGGGGAGGTCACAGACCCAGGGTTAGGCCCGAGAGGCAGACGCAGTGTTTGCCCCAAGAGGCTGGAGCCACACGCTGGAGGGAAACACCGTTTGGTGCGTTCGGTGGCCTCCCAAGTGCTGCCTGCAGCAGCCCCCATGCCCGCCAGCAGCCGGGGCCCTGCTCCGCCGCCTGGGACTCACCGTATTCTGGAAGCCGCACGAACTCCGAGGGCTCGCTGGGGAGGCTGATTCCCCAGGGGTTACTGGCGCTGACTCGGAACTGGTAAGGACAGCCAGGACTAAGGTCTTCGATGACGAGGTACGTGTCCAGCGTCGAAGCGACCGACTGCTGCCAGACCTGGGACCCTGGTGTGCAGTGGCAGAGGAGAGGCAGAAAAGACAGAGCCAAGCAGCATTGTTTCAAAGGCCTTCAGCACACAAAGCAAGGAACAGCGAGCGACACATCCCATTCATGGGCCAGCTGCGGCCGCAGGGCGGGCTCTGGAAGGAAGCCAGTGGGACCAAGGCAGCCGGCTGGGGTTCAAGTTCCCAAGCCGACTGCACCAGTCAGGGGGCTGCGAAGTTACTGGCCTTGGATGCTGTCTACTTTCAGAGACACCGTGGGAGAGTGAAAAGCCTTGTTCCTCTAGAATGTATAGGGGATGTGCTACATGCTTATAAGGCCAGAGGAAAATATTATACATTAACAACAGATTAAGAGAAAGTATGCACTGGGAATGGAAACAGAGGAAAACCGACAGGCACTGAGTCCTGTGCACGTGTCAAGCATGTGCTCACTTAAATCCACAGCCATCTGATGGGTGGGAAGCAGTCCTCCCACGTCGCAGCTGAACACAGTGAGCCTCAGAAATGCTACGCAGTTTGCCCAGGAGAGTGGAATTCACAGGGTGAGCGAGTTCCGATAATCGGAGTAAAATATATGGTGCTGCTCTCAAGTTGATTGTGCACTGCCTACTGCGGTGCAGAGATGTCTTGGTAACAGTTCAGCTGTCTGGCAGCTCCTGGCTCTGCCTGATACCTGGACGCAGGCGCAGGGGTTCTGACTGCTGAAGGAGACGGGCACTGTTAGCGTGCGACGGAGCAGATTCAGGCAGGTGTACAGCTGCACTACTTACAGTCCTGCACCCACGCGTGTGTATGTGCTCACTGTGTTCCCTCTAGGGGCGGCAGGGCTGGGGACACAGGTCCTCCTACCCCCTACCACCCTGGAAGACAGCTCTCATTAGAAACCGGAGAGCTGGGCTCCGGTGCTAGCTGTGCCTCTCACTGACCACGACCTTGCGTGCCTTGACTTTCTTTTTCTTTTCTTTTCTTTTCTTTTTTTTTTTTTTTTTTTTGACAGGCAGAGTGGACAGTGAGAGAGAGAGAGAGAGAGAAAGGTCTTCCTTTGCCGTTGGTTCACCCTCCAATGGCCGCCAGAGAGCTGGCCTGGAAGAGGAGCAACCGGGACAGAATCCGGCGCCCCGACCGGGACTAGAACCCGGTGTGCCGGCGCCGTAAGGTGGAGGATTAGCCTAGTGAGCCATGGCGCCAGCCATGTGCCTTGACTTCCATTCGGCCTCAGTCTCCTCCTCTGTGAAACGGGTCTGATCCTTCCTATGGGGCACTTTGAGACCCACCCTGGGTCATCAGCGTGCCATAGAGGTTAACACGGTCCTAGCAAAAGCAGCTGCTCCATGTCTGGGATGAGATGGTGGCGGCTGTCGGACACCAACGCATCTGGGGGACCCGTGAAGGAAGAGCACCCCGCAGACGAGGAGGCTGCAGGTACAGAGACCTGAAAGACCTCCTTAAGTGGGAGACAGAGAGAGCAGAGCAGGAGGAGAGAGCGCACCTTCCTCTCTGTACTCCACGGTGTAACCGGAAATAGTGCAGTTTCCCGTGCTGGACGGAGGCAGCCAGCGGAGGATCACCGAGGTGCAGCTCCTCTCCTGGGCAATGGGCCGATTGGGGGCTGCGGGGACACCTGCGGAGACAGGACCAGGGCTACTTCTGCACATCTGGGCCTCTGACACCAAGCTAGAGCTACCACCCGGGCAATGAGCCTGAAGCCCCAGAGGTCTTCCCAGGAACCTTCTCCGCCAGGCCCCCCAGGCAACACAGCGTGGTCAGGGGGCGGTGAGGGGGGATCATGGTAGGCACGCCGACACTATGATGTTCATGGCATCTTTGATCTCCGTGACATCCTGCTGGTGGTCACGGGTGGGGGAGGAAGGATGGTTACTGTTCAGTGGTACAGCCAAAGTGTCAGTTTGGGAAAATAAGAGAATTCTGTGGCTGGATGGTGGTGATGGCAGCAGAAACAGGTGAATGGACTTAATGCCGCGGGCGTGCGTGCTTCAAAGTGATCGTGACAGTAAATTTTATACTGGATGTGGATGGTCCCGCTAACAAAGCAACCGTACCTTGCACCTTAACTGTGGCCGACGTGGACGCGGTCCCGTGGTCGTTGGTGGCTATGCAGGTATAAATCCCGCTGTCCTGGGGCATGAGGTTGCAGATCTTCAGGGTGATCTCCCCAGAATCACTAGAGGCACGGAAAGGAGGCCTTACAGCGTCCAGGCCTGAGACAGCCCACTGGCGGGCAAGATCTAGGGCGCACACAGGGCATGCTGGGCTCAGAGCTGTCAGGCCCGCCCCTTATCTACCTACACACCTGGTCTCTCAATACCCCAGCTCCCTATGTGGGGAAAACACGTCTGACCGTGCCCAGCCCTCAAGTTTACATGTACGTGAGAGAGAAAATAAAGAATACCATGAGGTCAGAATTAAAACACGGTTTGAAATCCATGAAGATCTATATAAGTACTGGTTGGCAATAGTATTAGTATAAGGACCAGCAACTTTGTCCCAAAATAGCCTCAGCTTCACAGATCAATAATCAATGCTGCAAAAACAGGGAGAGTAAAGAACAAAAATGTTCGAGTGTTTAAAATTCTACGTATGGGACCTCCAAAAATAGCTAAGGAAATTCAGAAAGGTACAACCCTCCAGCTAAATGCTAACTTCCCCACTCATCGCAGTGAGGGGAAGAACTGCTCTGAAAGGGTTTAATGCAGAAGCCATGTTTGGCTGTGACGTGTTCTGGGGTCTCCACGATCCTCACCAAGCTCTGTCTCCCACACTAAGCTCCTTGGCCCATTGATTCTATAACCCGGCCGGGAACGCCGTGGCGGAAGGATGGACTTTCCCGTTTCACATGCACACCAATTAGGGGATGGAAGCTCCTTGATTCTGGGGGTTCCTTGGCCAGGTGTGTGAGCGGTGACAGCTTGCTGCTGCTGGCCCACCGTAGTACACGTTAACGGAATGACTGGGAGGGGTCCACCAAGTCCTGTTCAACAGCCTCTCTGCATGGAAGCATGCTTGCAAGCTTGGTTTCCTACGGCACGTTTTGGAATGAGCCGTTTCTCCCCCCTCTACTGAAAATGCTCTTAGTAAGGAATTAAACCTGTCACCATTTCACAGCAGCCTGAAGGGCACGAAGCTACCAGGGTGCTCAGATGTGAGGACCCCATTCCTACACAGAGCTGGAGCCTCCACCGCTCCTCCTGACTTGGAGATCCCTGGCAGCTTGGGGAAGGTCATCTGACGGCGTGACTGCGAGGCAGGGCTGCCGCAAAGGCTCTTCACACGTGTGACTCACGCTTGACCTTTGTATGCTTAATGGGGGTCCAGACACAGACTTTGCAAACTGCCGTGTTGGTCTGCATGGAGCGGAGCGGCATGTGCCCGTGCACTGGCGCCGCCCTGCTGGCAGGCTGCAGGGGGAGCGGCTGAGGTTGCGTGTAGAGGTGACGTCACTGAGGACTCTGTCATCGTGGGGATGAGCCACCCTGGGCTTTGGACTCAATCTCTCTCCTAATCTAGGCCAAGAGTTGGCTCTAGAACAGGCTCCCAGGAGATTGGTCAGCTACCCAGACGTGGCTTCTTGGCTACGGAGCGGGAGGTGCAGACGTCGGGGCCACCGGCTTACCAGGAGGAGATGGTGTAGGTGGCCGTGCTGCTGTCCGTGTCGAGGATGTTCTGGTCGGGCCCCTTCCAGGTGACGGTGGGCTTCGGCCGCCCGCACACTTTGCACTGCAGTAGCACTGTGTCCCCAAGCAAGCAGGTCACGTCCACTAAGGGCACAAGGAATTCTGGGGCCACTGCAATCAAATCAACACACAAGCACATCACTCAGGACAAACTCAGGACAACATGGCCGTGTTTCCACGCGACACTCTCATTCCCCACCCGTGTTGTGTGCCCATTCAATGTCCTTCCGCCTGACACGGCTGAGTCGTCTGCGCCCCTTCACAAAGTATTTTAAAATAATAAATGTTCATAGGAAATACTGAGAAGCAAAAAGAAGAAAAACCTCCCTGATGTAACAATCCAGACACCATCAGAGAACGTTCTGGCGCATCCTTTGGGCTTTCTAAAAGCACACTTCCTACCGCCTTGAGTCGCACCATCTTCACTGCAGGCGGCAGGCTTTTGCACCTAATAGCTAACCACAAACACCTCTCCTCGCCCACAGGCACAGAACTGCACCGCCATTCTTTCACGACTCTTACTCAGATCTACCGTAACTCACCTTCTTGGATGAAATTTGGATTTAAGATCTGAAAGACACAAAGAAACAGAAAGTTGCTTGAATCCTAAGCTACCAAAAGAGAGCCAGAGACTTGTTCCCTACTGAGTGAGGAGAGCTCGCTGAGGTGGGCGGGGCCGCTGAGGTGGGCGGGGCCTGGCGTGCAGGCTCTCCCTGGGTCCCGCTGCAGGCTCCTCCACCAAGGAGCACCTGCACCAGTGGCTCACAGCGCCAGGTGGGGCTGGTGCTCCTCGGCTTGGCGGCTGGCCTTCCTGCCCGCCCTCGCCTCAGCTGCCCCTCTTCCCTTCACACGCACGACACCCCCCCCCCACCCCCGCCCGGCACTCAGCAACGCATGGCACTCATTCTTCCCAGGATCGGAATCTTCAGACTCGGAGGACCAAAGGCCTGTCAAAGTGGAAGGCTCACTGCAATGCACCAAGCCGGGGGGCTCCGTCCAGATGTCCTCCCTCTCCCTCTCCCCCTATTCCCAGGCAGAGAGACCTTGTCTTCCAGCAGCTACACACAGGGCTTCTCTGGCTGAAGGGGAGCAGGAGAAGGCCTGTGTGTCCACCCTGCCTACAGCACGGTTCTGTCGCCCAGGCCTCCACAGGGCACCTTGAGACCCACTCGGCCAACCGTTCCGACCTTTCTGCTGAAGAGGTGACAGAGCAGAGACCAAGGTCGATGGACTGACTCGTCCTGGTCGCACAGCTGATCCAGGGAGAGGCCCGGATCTTTCACACCAGGGACAGCACTCCTGGAGACCAGCTGTTCTTGAGAATGGTCCTTTGATCCACTCCCTACCCCATTTCCTCTAATCTTGCAAGTTCAAGTCCAGGTCATAAATCCTGACATGGTGATTGTGGGGAGCAACCCGGACTAGACTAAGTTACTGGAATTAAGACTTATTCTATGCATCTGCTCTCCCACAATATGGCGCTGGGAGAGGAGAAAACAGCTTCTACGCAGCTGCCTCTTGCCAACTTGAGTGATGACCTCCAGGAGCTGATCTTGCTCCTGATTGGAGGAGAGCAGCGTACTCGGCGTGTGGGCAGCCGAGTTGGGATTGGCGGAAGAGGACTATAAGGGAGGAGAGAGACAGCATGCACCAGGAACATCTAAGGGGAACATCTATTTGAAGGAACACCTGTGCAGCCCCGGAGAGAGCCGGCTGGCGGTGTGCCGCTCCCCTGCGGAAGTGGGGAAAGCGGCCAGGGGGAACCGCCCTTCCACAGAGGTGGAAGGGACAGTAGCCAACCCGGGAAGAACCAGCAGCAAACCCGGGGAGGGCCGAGCAGACGAAAGAACAACGCAGGGTCCTGTGTCGTTCCTCCACGAAGACGGGGAGCGACAGGTGATAAAAGCTTGGGCTTCGGTGTCAGAGAGGCTGGGGTCGCCTGCTTTGTTTAGGGTCATCATAGCTCAGTTACTCAGCACGGATTGGCACCCATCTCCTCCACAATGGGATGGAATAAACAAAACCTACTGCTGTGTGCCCGCAAATAATAAACGAAATCATGTCAAGTGTGTAGCATGAGGCTTGACACGTGCTCAACCTGTATTTAACTAACCCTGATGTCATGTTAATCTTCTGCTCAGGAGCCCATTATTAAAGATGCTTATCTCTAATAGTTTGCCTGGGAACATTCTTCTTTCCTTCATAAGAAAACTCGTGTGCCCTGCAAAGCAGCCTGGTCAGCGCCATCACGCCTGCCTTCCCGTGTTTCCTCGCATCTCATGTGAACACGCACGGTTTCTGTGAGGCCTCTCCATGCCAGGGCTCAGGCGAGCCTTTGGAATGGAGGTGTTGTCTCCTGCTTTGGGCTCCCCTTCACAAGCTCACGTATTCCACCACCCAGGTCCTTCCTGGAGCAGGCTGCCATGCCAAGTCCTAGGGGTGACCATCCTGACTCTGGCCACTGCAGTGCCCTCTGCTAGCCTCAAAAAGCCACCGACACTGCTGCCCAGCCCTCCTTTAAATCAGTGGCTTTAAACCCCTGGTCCGAGCAGCTCTGAAAGCGCAAGAGATCGATGCCGGGCCTCGTGCTGGGAGATTCTGCTTCCCCCGGCGGGAAGTGGGGCCCTAGGCGTCGGGACTTTGAGAGCGCGGCAGGTGAATCCACACGCAGCCCTTAGGAGTGTTGCCGGAAGCTGCGCTCTGTCCGAGGGAACTGCCCTTGGATAAACCGGCTTCCGGCCCCTGAGGCTCTCCTGGGGTGGTGGTGGGGGATGGGATTACTTGGTGGTGTTTGGTGAGAGCTGCTGCTTTCCCCACACCCAAGAGATCCCTCTGTGTGAGGAGATCCTGGGGCACAGCAGAGCGAGGGATGCAAAGGGCTGCTCTAGTTGAGCAGCTAGCAGTAAACGCGGTCAGGAGCACCATGTCACCTGCAGGGGGCGCTAGAGAGGCCGTGCCTTTATCTGGCTTAGGCGGCTTGGGAGAACCAGAGCTGGCCAATTCCTGAAGAAAAGGAGTCTGAGAATAATTTTGGGGTGGGCGTTGTGGCACAGCTGCCACTTGGGACACCCGCATCCGGTTTTGGAGTGGCTGCAATCGAGCCCAGTCTCTTCTGATCCAGCTTCCTGCCCATGTGTCTGGGAGGCAGCAGACGACGGCCTGAGGACCTGAGTTCCTCTCACCCACAAGGGAGATCTGGCTGGAGCTCCTGGCTCCTGGCTCTGCCTTGGCTGTTCTGGGCGTTTGGGGAGTGAACGAGCAGATGGAAGATCTCTCTTTGCTTCTCCCTGTCACTTTGCCTTTCAAATTTTTATTTTTATTTTTATTTTTTTTGACAGGCAGAGTGGATAGTGAGAGAGAGAGACAGAGAGAAAGGTCTTCCTTTTGCCGTTGTTTCACCCTCCAACGGCCGCCACGGCCGGCGCACCGCGCTGATCCGATGGCAGGAGCCAGGAGCCAGGTGCTTTTCCTGGTCTCCCAGGGGGTGCAGGGCCCAAGCACTTGGGCCATCCTCCACTGCACTCCCTGGCCACAGCAGAGAGCTGGCCTGGAAGAGGGGCAACCGGGACAGAATCCGGCGCCCCGACCGGGACTAGAACCCGGTGTGCCGACTAGAACCCGGTGTGCCGGCGCCGCTAGGCGGAGGATTAGCCTAGTGAGCCGCGGCGCCGGCCGCCTTTCAAATAAATAAGTGAATCATTTTTTAAAAGAAGAGAATATGTTTTAAATGGTCATAGTGGCTACCCCAGGGTAGTGGGATTAAGAATAGCTTTCCCAGAAGTGGCCATCAAAGAAGGAGGTACTTTTCTCTGAAGGGAGGAGAGAACTTCCACTTTGCTTATGGCCCTGTCTAAATACCAACAGGGTTTGTGGACTCAAAAGGCTTCCATAGCCTTGGCAGCTCAAGTCAAGAGCATCAGGTGGTCGCTGACATCAAAAATAAGAGTGTTAATTGTTAAGTAAACAATAGGAGTCACTGTGCACTTACTCCCCATGTGGTACCTCTGTCCTTAATGAGTTGTACTATGAGAAATAACTGTAAAACTTGCTATCTGTACTTTATACCTGGTGTATGTGTGTGTGTGTGTGTGTGTACAAACTGTTGAAATCTTTACTTAGTATAGAGTTGGTCTTCTGTATATAATGTTAATTAAAAACGAATCTTAATGAAGACTGGGATGGGAGAAGGAGTAGGAGGTGGGATGGGAGTGGGGGTGGGAGGGTGGGTATGGGGGAAGAACCTCTATGTTCTTAAAAGCTGCACCTATGAAATTTGTATTCATTAAATAAAAGCCCTCTAATTTTTTTTTTAAATAGCTCTTGCCCCAATTCAAAAAACATTGACTAAGTTCCTCTTCTGCTCTATGACTGTGCATGGTTTTGTGGATAGAGGAATACTGATAGCCCTGCCCTTAGGGTTTACAGAAAGTTATCTGAGGTTTGGGTGGGGTGACTTTTTCCTGTTTTCTCTTACCTGGGCTTTCCAAATAGCCTGCAATAGGCATGTTTCACTTTTACAGTAATTTGCATTTTAAAGAAAAAAGACTGAGTGAGCCCTATTGGATGGCAAATTCTTCAAGGACACAGAAAACTCTCAGCGCCTCTCACACCAGGGTTCACGGGGTGGTGACCGGCCCATTTAATACAATGCTGATGAAAGGTTATTTGGCCCTGAGTACTCATCCCCGGTTCTCCCGAAGATTTTAGCACCTGTTCCACCGAACAGAATCTCAAAATAGGACCGAAAGATCTATACAATCATCTGTGCAGGAAGGTATAGGAAAAGTAGTACGTGACTAGAGCCTGCCTGGGACACAGACGGGCTGCACGCGTGCTGGGAAATGATCGAAGATCATAGCATCTGCAGCCTCTGAGAGAGGGCCTGACAGCCCGCTGTGCAGCACGGCAGACTCCGGGAGCTGACAGCTGACAGCACGCAGCCAGCCCCCCTCCCTTTAATGAAGATTTATTTTATTTATTTAAAAGGCAGAGTTACAGAGAGACAGGGAGAGAGAGATCTACCTTCTTGTTCACTACCCAAATGGCTTCAACGGCCAGGACTTGGAGGGCTAGGCCCAAGCCAGGAGCCAGGAGCTTCTTCCAGGTCTCCCACGCAGGTGCAGGGGCCCAAGGACTTGGGCCATCTTCCACTGCTTTCCCAGGCCACAGCAGAGAGCTGGATCGGAAGCGGAGCAGCCAGGACTCGAACTGGCGCCCACATGGGATGCTGGCACTGCAGGCGCCTCTTTAATCCATTCGGCCACAATGCCGGCTCCCAGGCCATTCTCTTACCTAGGCCAATATTCTTAAGCAACATGGGACTCAGTTGCTCTGGGAGTGGGGGTACTAGTGCCCACGTGGAATGGCTGTTTGATGCAAGGATTCAGTTTCCTTGATGACTGTTTCTTGAGCTGACACTTGGGTGGTCGCATCTGGGCAGGGAGCAAGGCCGACACACTTACACCCTCAGTGGGCCAGTGGTCTGCTGACGAAGACAGAATTCAGTGCTGCTTGCATTTGATTCAATGCCTGATGTTCACAAGCTGCCTGCACCCTCCTCTACCCGACCT